TTGATCCAGAGGTAGTGGTCGACAATCGAGCTGCCGGTCGGTGTCCCCGGCGGCGCGCCAATGCCACCCGACTTGGCGTTGCACCACTCGCTTTGAGGCGACCCACGGTAGTTGCGCGAGGTATCAAAGACGCAGTGGAGGCCACCGGTCGCACTCGAGTACGCTTGGCAAATGCTCTTGAGCGTGTCCGTGTCCTTGTAGTTGGACGTGTTGATGGCAATGCCGTTGAGGCGACCGGCCGACTTGAGCTTGGACAGCACCTCTTGCGCCGCGCCTTGATTGGCCCAGCCCGCGACGTCGGCGTAGATCTGCGCGTTTGCATTGGACGAGAGCTTGGTGAGCGCGACCTTGAGGTTCGGGAGGTATCCTCTTTGTGTCGCGCACTCGTTGTTGGCCAGATTGCCAATCGCATCCGGCTCGAGGATGTAAATGACGTTGGTGTTGCCAACGCGGGACACGAGGCTGTCGATCCAGCGCGCATAGTCGGCCGGCGACTGGTTGCCGCCGTTCGACGAGTAGTGGCCCGCGCAGTCCTTGCCCGGAAGACCATAGATGACGATGACAGGGGTGGCGCCGGCGCATTTTGAGAGCAATTCCGAGATCGCGTCCCCACCGCGGTCCGTGTACCAGGTCGCGGTCGCATACTCGCGCAGCACGTCCACGACAGGTTTCAAGTACGGTTTTTGGGCCGCTTCGGCGTACGATACGGGCGGCACGGCGGTGCAGAGGCCCGCCGAGACGGCGCTGGCGGCCAACGCCATGGCCGCAAGAAGCCGCGGGACGTAATACATGGGAAGAGTGAAATTCGGGAATGCGCCGTAGACGCCGCCCACGCCCGCATCTGGTTCGTGCAGATTGCACTTGTGTGTCACGGCATCACCCTGGTGCACATTTGAGCCAATCACTGCCTCGCATCACCTTGCATTTTGTATTTTGGCCAATCAAACGCAACGATGTCCATGTCAGCTGAGCGATAACTTTGCATACTTTCGGACGTCGACCGATTGCGTGGCAGCTCCAACGTGGCGCCAGGCTGTCGTCGTAGTACACTGTAGCTTGTCCAGGCGAGTAGCAAGTATCTTGTTGTGCGAGACAGTGCCGTCTTTGCTTCTTCACCGCCTTCAGATGGCGAAGCGCGCCACAGAGCAGCTTACTGTTGGCCGTGAGCAAGGAGGCAGGAGGCGGCTGGTGCACTTGCTGAATCTTGAAGCGACTACGACCGCTCCGAGCAAGGTAGTACTGGATAGTGCGTGGTATGCAGAGAGCGAATAGCTTATATTACAATCGCTTGTTGACGACGAACGACGTGAGGCGCGTGGTATAAGTATACGTGTTGAGCTGGTGCGTGTCGCCGCTGATGGGACGCTCGCGGAATCAGCGACCTTATTTCAGGCGCATTCCTTGTTCGAGCCTTGGTTTCGGTGTTTTGATGCATATTCCATACCGATTTGCACCACAGACCTGCCCTTTTGAGCACCGACGGTGTCGCCGCCGCAGATGGTTCATCGGAAATTAAGCCACCGATCAGCTTAGCGTTTCTCGCCAAGGCTACTATTACGTCCAGCACCCACTCGAGATACTTGCTATCAAGAGCGAGAGCTTCGAAAGGCTGGACAGGCACGGACCAATTTACATGTAGCGAGTGCGTCGACGTCGACGCGCCGCTTGCGACGCACAAAACTCTGAAACGCGGTTTCCAAAAACACGCTCCGAACGGGGTGTAAAAAAGCGTTAAATGGGTAAATCCGCGCTTTGGCGAGGCCAGTGTATCTCGTCGGTGTGTTTCAAAGCTGTCGCGCCGTTCTGTCGCGCCGTCTGCCCGTAGCCGTGAACGACTGGCGCCGAAGCGGGAGGATCCGTCGCTCGGCCTACAATCGCTGCGCCGGGGCATGGTCGGATTGCAGCCAGTTGGTCGACTTGTCGGACCGATGCTCGGAGCTGGATCCTTTGCGCTGAACGGAGGACGTTGCAGTGTAGCGTAGTACGAAGACCGACTGCATTCGAAAGCCACTGCTTGCTGTAGTTTAGAGCTTAGCTCGCTAGGATTTCCAGTCTTATTAGCTCGCTAGGATTTCCAGTCTTCACACATGTGCCATTTACGGTATGCAAAAAAGTATCTTGTGTGGACCACGTCATCCTGGAAATCGTTATCGCCGACCCAACCGGCGTCGCAGTTGAAGCCAAGACTGCAGTATACGAAGCGCTGCCGTGGAGAATAGTGTCTTTGATAGCTTTAGCAAATTGGAACCCACCTCTCTCGGCCCGCGAGTTGCCGGTCCCCATGAAGCCATGGTGATTTCGCACGTGTGAAAAACTTGCATGAAAGCGTTTATCACATGTGAGAAATGTGTGGATACAGCGATGATGCCCAGCGTGCATCGGACCGAGCCGGGGATTTAAAAAGGAGAATTCCTCGCGACCGTCGCAAATTTGAAGCAGCTGCAGCCCAGCTGCACGGTCAAAACCACCACGGAGCTTTGCGGCAACAGAGTAGCAACGCTACAGTCCCTTGAATGGGTCGGCCATCGAAGCTTTGCGGAACACTCCCTTGTATGGGTCGGCCAAAGCATAATAGTACCAAGGTACGAGCGAATTGGACGCTTGCTCGGTGGCCAGCGGCAAACACAAGATGGACACGTCTCTCACCCACAAAATGTCGAGTGGAGAAGGCTGTATCGTTTCCTCTGCTCATCGAGTCGACCGAGCACTCCACTACTGGTACTGGTAACGCACCAATCATCCACGTTCCAGGGGTAACAAGAGCAAATGCATTGCTCAGCCTTCCGTGTCCATACCGACATCGGCCGTCGCCTAGCGCAGGGTGTATCGAAATGCACAGGCGAGGCTGGGAATTGGTACCTCGAGGAGGTGCTGAATCGAGCACGAGGTGCTGAGAATGTGCGCAATCTTGGTCCAGCTGTCGGCGATCCCGCGCTGGGCCGAGCAACGTTTCTGAAAATGAACGCCGGTCGCATCAACCACCACAGAGCTGTCGTCCGCCACCGTCCACGCCAGCGTCTCAATCGAGCACCGCACCAGATCGCCCGCCACAATCTACCCTTCGCTCTCAGACCTCGGCGGTGTGCACATCCGAACGCGTACCTCATGCCCCGTCATGGTCTCGGGTGCGAGCGTTGTGAGCGCGTGTCCTTCAATCGTTTCACACGCAAAAGCCTCGGTCACTGTCAGCACGATCGTGAGCTGGCTCGGGTATGGACTTGTGGTTGCGTCTTTCCAGAGCAGCACGAGTGGCGAGAGTCCGAGCGTATAGACACCAGCCTTGCAGTAGAAGAGAAGTCCGTCCCTAGCGTCGTCCATGTCACATAGTATGCGTCAAGGCGGAGAGGTTGTACTTGGAAAAGGAAAACGCGCCATAGTACGCCGTCGCGAGTCCTTCCGGCGAGCAGTCAAAGTACGGAATCGGCTACCAAGAATCGGATTCGAGGCTCCGTTGGATAGTATATATACGCGGCTGGATACCTGAAAGGCAAATGGATTGGCCGACGAGATAGTCGCGGCCGACGTCTCGGAGAGCTTGTCTTGAAGCCAGTAGAAGCGAAACTCAGCCGTACAGTCGTACAAGAGGTAGCCCTATGATCGACGTGAGCGACCGGCGGCTTGGGCGACAGGGGACCTTCCAGCACATGACATCGAGAACGTAAAAGGTCCCGTCGACGTCGTTAAAGATGCAGTCGAGGACGCAGTACTGGTCGGCGCCATACTTCGTCTTGCGCGAGCCTCATGCGTACATGAGCTACATTTGGAGGTCGTCGAGGTCGTCGTACCGCTGGGCAGCGCCGACGGAAACTTCTTGAGCACGCTCCCGCTGTGCGTCCGCGCGATGGTCGTACCACTACACGAGAGGCTGTGAGACGACGAGAGGCAGCATGCGACGCGTGGTCTACTTGGCTGCGATCACGAGGCAGCGCTTGCCGTCCGGGCGCGGCAAGACGACCCAGCCCTCGCCGTTGCCGGCGTGCGTGCCATTGAGCTGCGTCGGGATATCCACCATCCACT